CCCCAAAACCCCAAAACCCCAAAACCCCACTTTTCCAAACTTTAAGTATTTTATCCTGAATCTTGAATTAATGGAAATTAAAAAAATATGATAGATTATTAAGTTAATCTTGAAAAACCTTGATTTAACAATAATGAACATTTCCTGTGATTACCATCCATATCCAATATATATTACTTAATCTTACTCAGACTACAATTATTTCTATGTTACTTCATATTGTCTCAAACATTTCCATATTAGTGTCCACATAAACACTTTATTCTTGGCTGTCACTGACAGTTTTTACAATTTAAATACGAGTATTTCTACTCATGTTTACTTCCCTCAATCCTTACTCAAGATTATAGGTGGCAGTGGTATTCCTGCTTGATAGATTCATGCTACTCTTAGTTCTGATTGACTGTAAAGAAGATTTCCTTTCCTGGAGGCGTTTTAGCAATCTGCTTTGCTGAATTATACTTGTTTTCTCTACTGTAGAGTATGCTTTCTCAAGTAAAACTGGGCTTTCAGGTGATTGAATTGATTCTAGAGTATCTTTCAACATGGATTTAGCTGGAGAAGTCTGATACTTTTATCTTATATCCCCAATTACTCTGCTTGATACTGAAGTCTATTTTCTTATAGGACTTTGCTAACTTCTCAGATTGTTGAGATTAGTATTTCTGGACTAAGGTTTTGTCTTGTTTAACTCAAGAAGATCCGTATTTAGGAAAGAAGTCTTTAGGAAGGACTAACTTTTCGGGTAATTTTGTATATTTTATTGGACTTTAATAAAAGCTGACTATTGCTTTGAATTGATTTGTGGATATGCCATTTAGCCTGTCTATTAAGTTTCAATAAATGATGTCCTAATCGGTTATTTTTACTTCGCTACCTAAATATGCTTCCTAACTGGTAACAAATTCTCATAATTCGAGCCTATCTGATATCTATTAGTATTATTGGCTGGCTTTTTTAAATTTCCTGTTAGGTAAGAACTCTTTGTGAGTATTTTTTGGGATGGCAACTATTCCCTCTCAGTATTGATTGTTTTTTACTCTACTTTAACACAATTCTACCTATTCATTAGCCCTGCATTCATTTGACTTGAATTCAATTGCTGCTTCTTGTCCCAAGTTGCAGTAGATGTTGAAGTTAGCTGTCTTGAGAGAGTTAGTTGTGGCTTATGATTTTAGTTCACAATAGAACCAAGACTTAAATTTGAGGGCGCCTTGAAGCTGGAGCTCACTCTTTCATTTCCTCTCTAGGAGTGACAAATCTTATTTGAAGCGAACAATGCTTACTGAGTCATGGGCCTTCTCTTTTAGAAGCTAATAAAGTTACTCTTCCTTCCAAGAACCAAGCTCATTTCATCGCAAAGAAAGTCCTCGAAAGTCTAAGATTAATTTTGTAACAATATTAATTTACCTGGAATGCTGTGTAATCTTAATGATAAACTTCAATGAGATGCTCAGTGATTTAGTCGTTAAAAGTTACGGTCTTAGTAAATGCCCTCTCAAGGGAGTTTTCTTGGTTTCTCATATTTATGACTTATGCTGGTGGTGCTGTTACTGCTCCAAATGATGTATAAATTTTAATATAATACTTATAATACAATTCTGTTCTAAATTTATTTCGAACAATAAAATTATTTTGCTTTTTTAAAAACTGCATCCGTAATATATCATGGGGTTTTGGGGTTTTGGGGTTTTGGGG